CGAAGTACAGGGCCACCTTCTCACCAAAGTAGTACCTATGGGCAAAGCCACCCCATCAGGGCCACCCCACTAAGGGTGACATCACAGGCCAGCGCCTAGGTGGGGGATGCCACATGTGGGGGGCAAGGAGTGTCTGTATTGATGGTTTCAGTGTGTCTAAGTGGGGCACACAGACACATCTGTTTGCTGGGGGCACGGGTGTGTCTGTCCGTGGTACATAGGTATGTCTATGGGGGGGTCCAGCGTCTGTGGGCACACAGGTTTGTATGTGGGGGCACATTGTATCTTTGGGAGCATAGATGTGTCTGCAGAGCACAGTGTCTGTGGGGGCTGTGTCTTCAGGGTACAGTGTCTGCGGGGCACAGATGGGTCTCTGGGTCCCACAGGTGTGTCTGTGGACACACACAGGGCATTTGTCTGGGGCAGCATTACCTGATGTCATCAATTGGCTGCTTCCGGAACATGTTTCTCCACCGTGCCCATTTCATTTTCAGGTCTCCCTCCCCCTAGGCACAGGTGACCGACATTGAGAACTTCCAGCCTCCGCTCCGGCCCTCACACCCTCGCCCAGCACCCACCCCTCACCTTGTGCAGGGGGAACTTGGTCTCAAAGACCCTGTCCTTCACCAAATCACTGAATGTGTCTAAAAGTCACAGGGAGTCTCGGGTCAGAGGAGAGTGAGGGTGAGGGAGGACTCTGCCTCCATCTCCCCACGTCAACGCCCCTCCTGATGGGCTGCTACACGGGCCACCTGCCCATTCCATGCTCACCACCAGATTCTGTCTTGCTCTTTAGGATGAAGTTGACAATTCGGATTCTAGAACATAAGAGCTGGTTCAGAATGGCCCTGCGTGGTCTCAGTGGGCCCCACCCCCTGTCTGGCCAGGTCCCAAGCCCCTCTCTGTCCTGGAGGAGCCCACCTGCCTGACCACCTGACCAGAGCCCAGAACTCAGGACTCATCTGAGAGCCCATCCCCAACCTCCTTAAACCCTCCCAGGGTCCAGTCACTCTGTGTCTCCAGGATGGGGCTCTCTTGGGGGTGGTCCCTCTCCTCCCAGGACCCCACATGCCTGGCCCGACCCCCACCTCCCATCACACCTCCCACCCGGACCCCCCCACACATCCAGAGCACACCCTACGTCTTATGTGCACAAATCCTCTTACACCCCCAGGAGCCATTTTGTCTATTTGGAGACTAAGGCTCAGAGAGACTGAGTAACTTGTCCAAAGTCACACAGCTAGGAAGTGGCACAAACGAGCATCTGACTGCGGAGCCACACTCCTCTGGAACATGCTCCTATGAGACGCAGTCCCCTGGACGTCCCAGGGCACTCCTCCCAGCCTGTTCCTCCCGGGCTCCATCAAGGTGCCTCTACTCATTGCTTTCCCTTGCTCCTCCCCAAGACCATCCAGCTCCCAGTTTCCCAGGAGGCCCCTCTGCTGCCTCGTGTCCAGATGCCAGGAGTGTTCTTTGCCAGTCTCCACTGACACGGTCCCAGCTGAGCTCGGAGAGGCCTGGGATGAGCTGGGCAGGTGATGGAGGAGGGATGTGGGGAGGGCAGGTGGACCAGCTTGTAGGGCTGGAGGGAGAGTCAGTGGAGAGAAGCAGGTGCTCGGAGGGAGAGGAGGAGTTGGGTGCCGGGGAGGCCAGGGACAGATGTCCAGGGAGGGGCATTCGATCTGGAGTGGAGAGCTGGGGACCTACATCTGGGTTCAGAGCCAGGATGGCTGGCTGGGAGGGTCCCCTTGCCTCGCCAAATCCTGACCACCCTTGAAGTCTGGGAACATAGCCCCATGTGACTTTCAGAACACTCCAAGATGTGAGAACTGTCATTGTCCATTATCACAGGTATGGAAACTGCGGCAAAGCCGCGAGGCCAGGCTTGGGAGCTTCCCCTGCCTGGACCAGGCTCATGGTGGGCAGAGCGCCTCCCAGCCCAGCCTCTCACCTGGTGGTGGGTGGGATGGGGGTCCACTTGGCCATCACCTCCTTCAGCGTGGCTTTGGGCACTCCCTGCTCTCCTACCGGCAGCCCATGGACACCTGCACTCGGTTTGGGGGCTGGACCCTCGGGCTCCAAGAGGAGCGCGCAGTACAGGTCGAAGATCTGGTTGCCGGCTCGGATTCCAAAGAACACCTTCTTCTGGTCCTCCTTCACCTGGGGTGGAGCCGCATGGGACCCTCTCCTCCACCCTGGAACCTCCCCCCGTCGTCCACGGCCCCTGGCCTGGCCCCTTCACCTCGGCACAAGGCCACTGGCCACCTCTCCAGACCCCTGCCCAGGACCCACCCAGCACCCAGGAGCCCCGGCCCTCAGCTGGCCCACCTCATAGTGGAAGCCCTTTCTCTTGAGGTTCTCCAGGAACTGCTGGTTTTTCAGGGTGCGACGGTCAGCCACAAGGACAAAATCCCACGACTCAGAGGCCTCGGTCTGCAGGAAGGAGGTGTGGGGCCAGGCCGGGGTTGGGACGGCCTGTGCAGGGTGTGGGAGAGTGGAAGGGACCCAGCCCAGGAGGGGTCCAAGCAGAGACTCACCTTCCAAGTGTTGGTCTCTATCAGCGGGATGCTGTCCATTTCGGGCTGTACCAGGATCTGGAGGCTGTCTTTACCCTGTGGTTAGGGGCAGACAGAGGCTGAGGCTCCTTCCTACAGGAGAGCGTCCCCGGGGCGAGGTGCTCAGCTCTCAGGGCCTGAACACATAAAGCTGGTGGGAGGCAGGAAAACAAGTCGGTAGATCCAGGTGGGCTAGGTGTTCGGCGAGGACCAGGAGACCTGGGGCTGTGCCACAGATGAGCAGCAAAGCTTTGTTTGGAAATACATACAAAGAGCTCCTGAGACCTGTCAGAACAGTGCTTGCTTCAGCAGCACATATACTAAAATCTGTCAGAACAGACAGAGAGCCCAATGTAAAACGGGCCGAAGGTGCAAATGGATTTCACAGAAGAGGGGCACAGTCAAGGTGAAGACACGGGAACCTCGGAAAGACCAGGAAACATAGGTCAGGGAGGCACGACCTTCTACCCACTCAGTCACGGACGTTTTAACAGTCTGACCACACCCGTTGACAAAAGCCCTGTGTGTTGCTGTGGTACACACACTGGTGCACGAATTTGGGAAACAAAACAACATCCAACAGCCCCATCCATCCTGGGAGACACGGACAGGGTGCTCACAGCAGCACATGTCACATCAAAATTGTGGAAACAACCTAACTCCCATTGGCGGGTGGGTGGATGGAGATACTGCTGTCCCCACACGGTGGCAGATCATGCAACAGGAACACCAAGGGGCTGCTGCCTCACGTGGAGCATTGGGGCCTAACGTGACATGGGACCGCCTTTAGTAAAACTAAGTCTGATGAGAACCCACAGAGGCAAGTGCTGCAGGCACATCTGGGACAGACACACAGATGCTGACACAGTGGGCAGAGCCTTAGGGAGGAAACGGACATAAGCATGGCCTCTGAGGCTCTCCCTGCGTATTAGTTACGTGGCAGAGGAACGAATGTCGCACTCTTGTACCCTCGTCACTCGGGGAGTGGAGTTTACCCTTCCTCGTTGTGTTTGGGCTTCACTGAGTGATGGGTGAAGACCGTGTGGAAGGGCAGGGAGTCACTTTCCAGAGAAGAAACCTGGCAGACACCCTATCCGGACAACGAAGGTCACAGTGATGTCACTTACTGTATTTGCCGGCGTATAAGACGATTTTTTGGCCCTGAAAAATATGCCTCCAAGTGGGGGGTCGTCTTATACGCCAGGTACACTTCAGATAGACTGCCCATAGTGCTTGCCCCGTGCCATAGTGGCCTCCCGATGCCCGCCCACTTCATTCCACATACCGTTCAGGCATCAGCAGCGCTGCTGGGTGTATGCTCGGCTGTTATGCGATTTTGCTGTTATGCGATTTTGCTGTTATGCGATTTTACCACACTCGCAAAATCTACGGTACCAGTCTATAGAGTGTGTTTTCTTTAGTGAATTACCGGTATGTTTACCGGTAATAAACTTGCACTGTTTTATGTATATGTTTGATTACATACAGCCTTGTGACAGTTTTCCTGCATGTCATAAGCATTTGAATATAAATTAAAATGTTGAAATCAAATCTGATATTGTTTTACCTTTTATTTGGTGTGTGGAAGGTGTGCGGAAGAGGGGGTAGTCTTATACGGCGAGTATATAACAAACTCTGTATTTTGAGTGGAAATGTTAGGGGGTCGTCTTATACGCCCAGTCGTCTTATACGCCGGCAAATACGGTAGATGTCAGGGACCCCCTGGCAGGATGTAGTGTGATAGTATGTGGTCCCCTCTCTAAAACCTAGTCTCTGCTCCGCACAAGGAGACACCAGAGGGACTTTTTCCAGACCTGAGCTGACCCAAGAGGCAGACGGCCAAGGACAAGGAGGGGCAGAGGGACCATCCCAGATGGGAGGGGGCCAAGGAGACCTGATGACGAATGCCATGTGGGATTTCGCACTGATTGGGACAGGGAAGACACAGTGGGAAAGCTGGTGGCGTCGGAGTCAAGCTGGCTGTGCTGGGCTCCGCATTTTGACCAGTGGCCTAGGCGATGGGGCACTGGCTTCAGGAGATGCGGGATAAAGGACACAGGGAACCCCCACTCTGTCTCTGTAACTCTTTAGGAGTCCTTACAGATGTGCTAAAGCTGCCCAAGTGAGCTCTGAGGGCTGAGACAAAGTGACCCAGGGCCGCTGCACTGGGGGAGCCAGGTGGCTGAGGGGTGGGGGACAAGGGCGGTCAGAACAGTCATGCAGGGGGAGGACGCTGGCTTTGGATCCGGGCGCTCAGGGAGTGAGTGCCCTTAGCCACGATCACCCCCCTGCTCCAGCCTTGGCCATAATGGCGTCTGCCCCTCAGGGCTCTATGCCACAAGGCACCAAGCATTTTGTAGCCCTAGCACAGCGCTGAGCATGCTGTGTGTGGGGGCCGGAGGGACCCCAGCCCAAGTACCAGTTGGCAGTTTCCCAGCGTGGCACAAAACCTTCTGGAAGGGACAGAGACCTGCAGCATTCCAGGGGAAAAGGGGCGTGGAGCCCTCGGGGCCGTGTCTATCAGAGTACCCCGCCTCACACCAAATGCTGGCAGGTTTAGGTACCGCCTACCTCACCATGGTGCCCACTGGCCTGGGCTCCTTCCATGGCCTTGGGCCAGCCCACTGGCCCTGGGGGCCCCAGCCTCTCTCCTGGCTCACAGCACTCACGTCCCATCCCAGCCACCCGTCCTCACCATCTTGCCCACTGCCAGGGCTTTGGCCCTGTTGGTCCCCCCATCTGCTATCCTGTCCCTTCTCCAACCACATTCCTGCCAGGTTCAAGCCCACCTCCTCCAGAAAGCCCCACTGGACTGCTCCAGCCAGTCTGCCCTAGAGGGCTACCAGGTCAAGTACAGGCCACTCAGTCACATTTACATTTCAGATAAACAACAGATACCTTTTAGTATAAGTATGTCCCACTTACTGTTATCATGGAATATACTTACTAAAAGAAATTGTCTATGTGGGGCCGGCCGAGTGGCATGTTGGTTAGGAGTTGGCTTGGGACGCCAGCTCTGAGCAGCAGGACCCCATTTCGGATCCTACATGAGGGCCAGTGACGTTGCGCCCTCTACAGCTAAGATGCTGAACAACAGCTTGACCTGGCACTTGGCTACCGTGAGTCGCCAGTGACGGCGTAGGCTGCAGTGGGGCTGCAGTGGGCTGCCGTGAGCTACCGTGAGTGGCTGGCAGCCAGTGTGAGCAGCTGGCCGCTGGTGTGAGCTTTCATGAGCTGCCGTGAGCCACTGTGAGTAGCTGTCCAATGGCCGGCAAGCGACTGCCTCCCCCAAGAAGAGCGCAATGATAACACCAACATGGGCCAGTGAAGCGACACACTCAACTAGACTGAAGAACAAAAGGACAGCAACTTGCCTGTTCCCCTTCCCCGATTCCCCAACGCAGTTCCCCTCCCCCAATTCCCCAATAAAATCTTTAAAAAAAAGAAATTGTCTATGTGCAACTCAGTTTAATGGGTGTCTGCTTTTGATTTCGTTTGGCTAAACAAGCTGCAACCCTCCTCCAACCTCCCCTCCCCATGCACAGCAGGAACTGCTGGCTGCAGGACAGGCCTGGGTCTGCTCCCCTTCTCTCAGTCACAGGAGCCAGAAAAGGCATCAAGGCCAAGAACAGAACCACAGGCACCACTGCATCAGGCACCACAGGCACATGGAGACGGCCGCGTCTGTGCCCCGTAGCACAGTGCAGCTCCCACCTGGGCGCTGAGATGTTCACACCCACCAGTCCACGGGGCTCACCCTGACCCTCTGCTCCCCACTTTGCTAAAATGACAGTTTTCCTCCTGCCCCATCTCCCTGCCCGCCCCAGCACTCACCTCCTGCAGCTAGGCTCCGGGCACTCCCTGCTCTCCTATGGACAGCCCACAGACACCTGCATTCAGGTGTGGCTTGGAGTACCTGAAACGCCTCCCTTGTCTTGGGCCAGAGGAGAAACCTGCCTTTCACAGACAGGTTTGCAGAAAGGGGCAGGACTGAAGCAGCTCTGTCTCAGGGAACAGAGTAAAGTCTCAACGAGACAGGATGGAGGACGTTTGTGTCCCCAGCATTGGGTTCATGGATGGGGTGCACACTCTCGGCGCCAGGCTCTAGGTCCCTATTGTTCTCCCTTTGGTCCTCCCAGTCCCACCCCCCAGGCTCACCCACCAGCTCTGGACAAGAAAGACCCTCCCTTCCCATGGCTGGGAAGTCCTGCTTTTGTCCATCCCTTCCAGCCCGGTCTCCAGGTCGCTGGTGGGACCACCACCCCGCTTCTGACCGGGCCTGGCAGGCCACATGGACACACATGTGTGACATCACTCCAGCTGCACACAGGTAAGTGTGGGCCTCCCCCCACCGTCCCTGAGGGTCACATTACACCCCCGGGTCCTCCTGGCTGTACCCCAAAAGCATGGTGCATTGTCATCGTCCATGGAGGGGACATTCCTGCCTCCACCAAAGTGCACACCACTACCTTTGACCATGTCCCTGAGCAGGTCACCCCTGGGTTCTGCCTGTCCAGCTTCTGAAGCAGGGCGTCTGCCCCTCCCTCCCTCCCTGCCCCCTGCATCCCTCTATCCCTTCAGCTGTCTGTCTGTCATCTGTCAATTCATCCTTTCGTGTGTCCATCCACCCATCCTTCCCCAGACACTCACTGATACAGCATCCCACCGTGTGCAGCCCTCGTGGGCAGCGTATGGTGTGAATGGACACAGAGGGACAGGCACTTACTGGGCAGGGCAGGTAGCCTGGGGTGTGGCTTCGTGGAGCAAGAGGTGAAAAGTAGCATTCCCGGGACAGGCCCTGAGGGTATCCAGGGACTCAGTACTCAGTACCTACGAGGACTTGGTTCTTAGTACTCCCAGAGACTCAGAACTCAGCACCTTTAAGGCCTTGGTAGTTACTACTGCTAGTGACTTGGTACTCAGTGCCTGTGAGGACTTGGTAGTTACTGCTCGCAGGGACTCAGTCCTCAGCACTTCAGCTTTGCAGAAACACAAAGGGCGAGAAAGGAGCTGCCAGGATGTGAGGCAAATCACAGAGGACTGCTCAGGTGGCTGGGGAGCTTGGATTTCAGCTGGGGCAACAGGGAGCCCTGGGAGGGATTTGAGCAAGGGCAGGTCTCGCAGATCTGGCTGTCTGCAACTGCAGCTGTCCTTCAGAGGGTGATTCTCTCACCACAGCTGCCAGGCGCTGCCTCCCCACCCACCCTGAACCAGCACCCAGCCTCCCCTCCATTCCAGCACGGCCCATCGGGGGAGCCTGGGGTCAGGCCGAGGGGTGCCAGGAAGCCAGAGCTGGCTCTGGAAGGGCCAAGGAGGCCCCGGGCAGAGGTGAAGCAAGAGGCTGCTGCCTGGCCCACACCTGGGAGGGCCCTGGGCAGCCTGTGGGAGGCTGGTTTCACTCTCCACCTGCATGGGTCTCCTCCCGGCTGGCCGCCCCGGTACTGGCCCAGCCCCATGACCTCCTCCCCCACAGAGGGGAGAAAGGGTGTCTTCCTGGGTGTTGTCTGGCCCACCTTCCCAGGGCCCCCCACAGCCACCTGCTCTGCCCCCAGAATCAGAATCCAGCAGCCCACAGCTGCCCCCACCTCTGCCAGGGGGGAAGAACGGGGGTGGAGGTGGGGGTGTGGGGGGGGCAGAGGACCCAGCTGGCTATTCTGGGCCTCCTCAACCCAAGGTCAGCCCACCCTGGAGGCCACATCCCTCTCCCCTCAGATGCCAGCTGCAGAGCAATGCTGCGTGATCTGGGATTCCTCACCCTGGGGTCTGACCCCCCCAAGTCCTGGCTCAGGGACGGGGGTAGATATGTCCTGCTCATCTAGGCCCCACACACTCACTGGGGTGGCCAGGATCCCTGAGGAATGCTGTCCTCTGTGGATCTCAAGGATGAAGAGTAAAGCTCCCCCCCCCCACCACCACCACCAGGGCTCTGCTGGGCACTGCCACTCTCACCTCAACCTGGGCTCCAGCAACCCCACAGGCACTTTCCAGGTGAGGCTGGTGGGGCGAGCTGGAGGGGCTGCAGCTATGGTTCCAGCGCAGCACCCGAGTCCCCTGCATTCTGGCGCCCCTCTGCGTACCAGGGTCCTGCGAGCGAGGCAGTCGGTCACAGCGCTGGCGGTACCAGAGTGTGGCTGAGGCGGCAGGGCTGGTCCTACCTGACTTCCGCGTGGGACTCACCTCCCTACTCCTGCCCCTCCCTCCCGCCGCCGCCGCTGCGCCTTCCCGGTCGGTCCCTCAGCCACCTGGCAGTTGGGGAGGAGTCAGAAACCCGCGGACGGGAAAACACACCCCTCCTGGTCCCCAAGGGCCTCAGACACCTTCCTGGGGACCCCGCCCCCCACCTGAGGCCTTCACCCTCACCTGCAGAGGGGTGTTCCTGTAAGATGGGGTTAGATTGACAACCCCTCCCAGGAGGAAGCAGGGAGCACATGAGTGCTTTCCATGCTGCCCCCTCCGCCCCCTCCGCTTCACTCTTCCTGACCCCAGGACACACCTTCCTCAGGTTCTCTCCAGCATCCAACCCTCCCTCGACACCCCCTCCCCAAGTCCAGAGTTGATTCCCTTAGAGGAGAAACTGGGGCATGGGGAGTTAAGGATGAGACTGGTGGGTGGCAAAAACCAAAACCACCACCACCAACAAAACTGTCTTCTTCCTCCCCAGCCCTGCTTTGTGGACTCAGCTGATGGAGGGGAGCCCTTGGGGTCCAGAGGATTTGGTGGCCCAGCCACTGAGTGGATAGCTCCCCTACATCCTGTGCTGCCAGGGCAGCAGCTGGGGAAGGCCACCCTAGAGTGCTGGCCCATGAGAGAGAGCCAACTGTCCCCGCTGGGAGGTGGGTCCCCAGGCTCTGAAAGCTGTTCTGAAGCTGAGGACACAGGGCAAGACACCCAGAGACACTGAACAGCATGGGGCAGCTGGGGGCCTAGGGAGCCCCCAGCGTATCGCGGGGGTACCCATGATGTCAGGGGGACAGGGAGCACCCATGGTGTTGGGGCGTAGACCCTGGGTTGACACGTTTGCACTGGGTCTCCCCAGGGATAACATGGCTCCACCCTCATTTCTGCTTGGGGGACCCTATGGCCGACTGTGACTGCAGCAGGGGCCAGGACAGAACCGTGCGGCAGAGGGCTTGTGTGACTGATGAAGCAAATCCATAATGCATTACGACCGGTGTGACGACAGACCCCACATGGGAGTGGCTGAAACAGGCTCGTGCACTCCGCTCTCCTACGAGTGAAGTCTGGTGGCGGCCAGACCAGGACTAGCAACTACCTTGTTGCTTTGCTCCTTTAAACATGTGGTCCCAGCTCATGGTGCAAAATGGCTGCCAAGCTCCAGGTATCGCATCCACGTGGGAGCCCACAGGAGGAGTTAGAGGTGAAGGAGGGGTGCTCCACCCCTCACATGGCCAGTCACATGGCCACACCTTACGGCAAGGAGGCCTGGGGAGTGTGGTCACTTTTCCTAAGGAGGGCCCTGGGGGCAGCCAGCTGTCTCTGCCACAGGCCAGAGGGCCTCAAATGCCATGTTAGAGTTCAGAGAACAGTCGGCGAGGGCTTTGAGCATCACTTCACATTACACACCAGCTCCTGGACTCCCTGCCTCCCCCAAGTCTCCAGCTCCACCTGCTCAGGACATTCTGCATTTACTTTTTCATTCTGCTACAACAATCCGCCAGCAGTCTGACTGCCGGCAGCAAGGGTGTACAAGCTGCCCTCTCTTTCAATGTCTTTGCTCAGCATTCCCAATTTTATTGCTGCAGAAACACTGCTTTCTCTTGTCCACCTCCCCAGAGCCTGAGGGAAGCAGAGTTCCAGCTGGGCACCTGTGGCCCCCTCGGGCAAAGGCAGACTTGTCAGCCTGGGATGGGGCCACTGGCCTGGCCCCTCCAGGGCAATTCCTCCTCTGGGACAAACAGGAAGGAAGGGGCAGATATCCTCTGGTCCTATCTGGAGAGGAAACCGGACAGCCCTTTCGGAAAGCCTTTCAGCTGCAGGAATCAAAAGCCTTAAAACTCTTTACGCTTTGGGCCATTCACTTAACTTTTTGTCGACTGCCCCAAGAAAAAAATCCAGGGGCCGGCCGAGTGGCTCAGTTGGATAAGAGCTCGCTCAAGAGTGTGAGCTCTGAGCAACAGGGTCGCCAGTTCGATTCACGGCCCGAGCTGAGCTGCCGCTGAGCTGCCAACAGGTGGCAGGATGGCTCAGCTAAAAGAAAAAAAAAAAAGAAAAAACTCCAAAATAATGAAAAATTATATAAATATGTCCTTTGAGGCAAAAGTTGTGAATCACCTATATGATCAACAAAAGGGAAATGTCTGAGCAAACGTGGTCTATTCATATGCCGAGGAAGCAGCCATTAAAAATTATGCTTTCTGGACCAGCCAAGTGACTTGTTGGTTAGGAGTTGGCTTGGGAGTGCAAGCTCTGAGCAGCAGGGCCCCAGTTCGAATCCCACATGAGGGCCAGTGACACTGCGCCCTCTACCGCTAAGATGGTGAACAACAGCTCAACCTGGAGCTGGGCTGCCATAAGCTACCGTGTGTGGCTGGCAGCCAGTGTGAGCGGCCGGCAGCTGGTGTGAGCTTTCGTGAGCCGCCGTGAGTAGCTGTCCAATGGCCTGCAAGCGACTGCCTCACCCGGGAAGAGTGCAATGATCATACCAACATGGGCCAGTGAAGCGACGTCCTCCACAACTAGACTGAAGAACAAAAGGACAGCAACTTGTCTGTTCCCATTCCCTGATTCCCCAGCGCTGTTCCCTCCCCCAATTCCCCAATAAAACCTTTAAATAAATAAATAAAAATTATGCTTTCAAAGAGTTTCTGAGAACCTAGCAAGTGTTTATTTCATACTAAGTGAAAAAACATACGTTACAAATAGGCATACATTTTTTATCTCAACTAAGTTAATGCATTAAAATACTGGAAGAGTAGATTCAATACTGGGCATTTATGTTTGCTTCATGATGCAAACTGTGCATGGTAGAATTAAGCTTTTCTCCCTTTCGATGGCTTTTTTCAAATTTTCTACAGCAAACACACATCACTTTTATAAACCTTTTTATTAAGATTACTTATGGTCACATGCAAAAGTCTATTATTATGAACTTGATTTCCCTGAATCGGTCTTCCTCTTGGCCTTGGTCTCCAGTGCATCCTGTGATAAGCCACAGTGCAGGGACCAGCGCCTCACAGGCAGTGTGGCCCTGGCCACCCCGGCTGTTGGCAGAAACCTTCGGTTGAGGCCCACATGGGCCTCCCGTTCTTTCCTCTGGACCCTGGACCCTGCCCTTCCTCCACTCTCTTCTGAGCCAGGCACACCTGCCTTCTTCCCTCCGAGGACTTGGGGCAGCAGCGGGCAGGCCCGGTCAGCCTCTCCAGGGTGCCTCGGGCCCTTTCCATTGGGGTGCAGTGGCCATCCCAAAAAGGAGTCGGGATCACAAAGCCACCAGAAATGCCCAACTCCGATGGCCTGGATGTGTCACTGAGGACTCTTCTCAGAGGCAGCACTGCCGGGTCAGCTGGGGTTGGGGCTTCCTGAGTCCCCTCTGGGCTGGTCCTCCCTCTGTGTGACAGCAGATCCCAGATGGTACTGGCCGTAGACCCTGCAGGGAAGGTACCCCTCCCAGGCTGGGCCTGGCTCCTCAGGTCTGCTGGAAGCTGGTCCTTCCTTGCCTGTCACATCAGGGTGGCATCTGGGTGGGGCCCCTGATGTCCTCGCCCCAGAGACACTTCTGTCTCCCTCCAACACCTCTGCACCTTACATTCTCATAGTTCTGTTTTCTGTCTTAGGGAACAGATAGCCGTCCCGGCTGAGTCGACAGCCCTGCTGTACCCAATTCCTCCATCACCCTGGAGGAAACCCCCAGGTGGAAGGTGTGCATGTGGTGGGTGGAGTTGTCGCTAATCCACTCACCTTTACAGACTTACCATACCAGTGGAAATATCAGTCATTATTCCTTTACAAATTTGCGGCTTTCTCTCCTTTCCCTGCAAGGATATTTCTTGAAAGCATTTCCGCCAATATTTTCACTGTTTGCCACCATGAATATATCCTGTAGGCCTAAGGGAACCTTGGGATCTAAGCCAGGCCACGCCCATGTGAGCTTTGACCACGGTGTGACACTTTTAAAGCTTTTGCCTTGCTCTGGCGCCTTGGGGCTTCTGGCGGTCATCCCCCTGCTGAGGAAGGTCAGGGCCTCTGCACCCTTACCCAGGACGAGGGACCTCCCAGTTCTGCGGTGTGGGCACCCCCGCAAGTTACTGGTACTACGATGGACCATGGCCTCAAAGCACTCTGCTAACTTATGTCATCTGTCACCCAACCACCTGAGCCACAAACCACCGACCTTCCTAGACGCCCACACCACTCCTCCTGTGGCTAGTCTCCAAATCCTGTGGTGGACCTTACCCTGCCACATGTCCCCAGGAGGAGGGGTAAGCATGGCTGCAGCTACCAGGGTAAAGGGTAGTGGTCAGTACAGGAACTGGGCAGATATGAGACCCAGATATCAGGCCCCAGGTGCAATGCTGCAGGTGGAGGGCTCACTGTGGAGTGTGTGTGGGGTGGGGGAGGAGCGATTCAGGGGACAGACTCCCAGCTCTGGGAGAAGAAGGACCTGGGTGCTGGGAGTGGGAGGGTTGCGGGCATGTGTGGTGTGTGTGTGTGTGTGTGTGTGTGTGTGTGTGTGTGTGTGTGTGTGGTCGCTGACATTCCTGTGTCAAAGATAAAAATAGAACCTAAGGGGGTGTGAAGGTCATCATAATTAACTTTTGCAAAGCGTTGGGAACTCTCAGCACATAGCCAGAGCTCCACCGCGATTGCTAACACATGGTCCGTGCTATCCTGTCTGCCCCTCCAGGCCCGCCCCTGCCTGGCCCTGCCACATGCGGCTCCACCTAGATCCCTCTATGCCCCATGGCAGCACTCCCATGGAATTGACTGACCGCCAGCCTGAGGGGTGCAGAGACCCCAGGGGAACGCGTACATCTCCCTGCCTGATCTCTGCGCCCTGGAGAGGCTGCGGCGGTCCCGGCTCTGCCTCGGGAGGGCGGCTCTGGGCACAGTTTGGGAGAAAGACCCATACCCAGGAATCAATCCCAGCAACGCCAAGACAGCGCCCTGAACGCCACCAGTCGGGGTGGGAGAAAAGGGGCCCTGAAGGATGGCTCCAGGAGCCAAGAGCAGGGGAGATGGGCCCCTGGCCTGTGGGGTGCTTGCTGGAGAGACATGTTGGGCCAGACCTGCCTTGCTCTGGGCACTTCCTGCTCATGGGTCCAGCATCACTTCCCCAGACAAAGCTGGTCCCAATGGGTTCCAAAGCCTCAGTCTGCGCAAGGCCAGTGCCGTGGGGACCCATGTCCTGGCTCCCCCACAGTGTAGCTGGGTGATGCCCACCTCATGACTTCCTGGGGCCTTCAGGATGGAGGCCAAAGTCCAGGGGTGGCCATCCTCTCCAGCCTCACCTCCACTCACTCGCACCTGCACTGGAGGATGGCCACAGAGAAGCTGGCTGCCCAGGCCACCCTGGCAACCCTAGGTGGATGGGGCTGGGGCCTGGGGCAGGGGGTGGGCCCCAGGGCTGGGGGAGGGCAGAAGCACACCTCCCAGAGTCGGTGTTTCCTGGCAGCCTGTTGGTCCCCAGCTTATTGGGAGGCTCCACAAAGTGGTCAGGGCCTGAGACTCAGGGTCACATCACAATCAGACCCCATGATTGATAGGCCGGGCTGTGTGGAAGACATACGAGTATACTGTGGCAAACATACACTTTTACCCGTATATTTTAACAGCTTTATTGATGTGTAATTCACATACCATACAATTCACCCATTTAAAGTAGCAGCATTCACAGAGATGTGCTGCCATCAGCACAGTCAATTTAAGAACTTTTTCATGGCCCTGAAAGGAAACCCAGGGCCCTGTAGCAGTCACTCCACACTCCACTTCCCCAGCCGCTGGTGACCACTAATCTAGTCTCTGTCTCCATGGATTTGCCTCTTCTGGACATTTAATATAAACGCATCATATAATATGTGGTTTTCTGTGACTGGCTTCTTCCACTTAGCACGTTTTCAAGGTCACCCATGTTGTAGTACGTGTCACAACTTCATTCCTTTTTATGGCCAAATAATTTCCCATTGAATGGATATACACATTTTGTGTATTCATTCATCAGTTGATGGACATTACCTCCCTTCTCCCTTTTGGCTATTACGAATAATGCTGCTGTGAAAATGAATAAAAGAAACCTCGTTTAAAATGAGTGGAGAGGCCTAAAGGGGGAGCCCTCACACACTGCCACTCCAGGTCAAATACACACCCAACAGGAAAACACGTCAGTTACAGCCCCAACAGGAAAGGACGCCTCGCATTCCCAGCAAGATGTGTCTCTACTACCCTAGGCGGAGGAAGATTTTTCTCCTCCCCCAGCAACAAGCCCATCTAGTGGTAACCGTGGCAACTCAGCCAAAGATCAGCCATCACCACCCTGAACTCTCACTTTCCTCCAATGGATTTTAATTCAAAGCCCCCCCCCCCTCCCCCAACTTCCTTTTTCTCTATCAAGTAAGGTTCCTCTCCTTTGTTTGCTGGACTTACCTTTAATTTTTTTGGTTTTGTTTTTTTTTTTTTTTGCTGTAGCATGCTTGCAATTCTCTGCCATTCCTGAATAAACCCACTTTGCTGGTAAAAACAACTGGCTGTTTGAATATCTATGTACAAGTTTTGTGTGCACATGTTTTCATTTCTCTTGGGTATATAGCTAGGAGGGGACTTGCTGGTCACATGGTAACTCTGTTTAACTGTTGGAGGAGCTGCCAGAATGTTTCTCCAAAGTGGCTCGGGGCTACATGCAAGGCCGGTCTACATTAACAAATGGAGTCGCCCCAAATCAGCATGTTCACACCATTCACGAGATTCCGCCAAAGAACCACCGCCGGCCACCCTATAGGCTAGAATCTAGAGCTCCTGGTGGCATCTGGTCCATCGCCGGTGGGATAGAGGGTCGCGAGGCGCCCCAAAGGAGGACCGGCCGACTTCACAGGGAAGGCGCTCCAGAAAAGCGCGGGCAAGGCTGGGGGCCAGCCTCTTGTCAGGACGCCTGGGGAGAAGAGTCTGTGGTAGCTCCTGCGTCTTTCGAGTGGCTTTCGAGAGACGCCACTCCACCCCGCCAGCCGGCTCCGGTTACCTAGCAACCAGGAGGCATCCTTCCCAGCAAGCACTGCATCGAACCCATAAGGTCGGAGACTACGAGGCCCAGCATGCCCCGCGGCCCAGGCGCGCGGACTACAAGTCCCATAATGCCCCGCCCACCCTTTCCTCGCCGCTCCCATCCCCTGCACTCCTGAGACCCCGCCGGCAAGCGCCGCGACCCCTTCCCGGCGCTCCCCGCGAGTGCGCGGCACGTTCGCGGTGACCCGGTGTGCGTGAGGTCAAGGCGCGGGGCGGAGCGGCTCAGGGCCGAGGCGCCATGCGGAGGGGCGAGCGCAGGGGCGCCGGGGGACCGCGGCCGGGGTCCCCTGTGCCCGCAGGCAAGGCCTCGCTGGAGGAGCCGCCGGACGGCGCGCCCTCGGGCCGCCGCAGCACCGAGTCCGAGGTCTACGACGACGGCACCAACACCTTCTTCTGGTGAGGGGCGGCGGTCGGCGGAGGGCCGGCGGGGGTCGCGGGGGCGTGGCCGGCTCGTAAGAGGCTGGAAGGGGCGCCGGAGAGACCCCGGGCCCGGCGCCGCCCCATCCCGAAGTCCCCGGGGGTCCAGCCCCGCACCGCTGACCTGTGCTGCTGAGCGAGGGGCTGGAGGGGGTGCCCGAGGGAGCCCGGGGCTGGCGTCCGCCCCGCTGCAGCCCAGCCTCTGGTGGTCCCCCAGCACCTCCGCCCCGCTCGCCCTTCTCGTGGGAGGACTTGGCGCAGAAGTCCCTTCAGGCAGGCTTTTCCTGACCTCCCTGTCCAGCATTCACCCCTGCCCTCCATCCTGTCATCTGCCTGATTCCTGCACAGCGCTGGCGCTGTGGGAGGGCATCGCCTGCTCCCCCGGGGCGCAGCCGTAGTAACTGGCGCGGACGCCTTCGCCTGTGCCGGGAGTCGAGTGGATGTTTGTCAGATAAAGGTGCTTTCTCTCTCCGGTTGCCTCTTGCCGTGCCAGCCCTTCCACCCGGTGCGGCTCGGTCCCAGCCAAGCCTCCGACTCAGGCTGTCCCCAGTCTGCCTTAATGGGGGTCGGGGAGGGAGAGGCCGGCAGGAGCGGCTCCCGCCCTCCCAGAGCCTCGCTGGGAGAGTTCATGCTGCTGCTTTACGCCGTGTTTGGCACTTGTGTCGTCCGAGGGTTCAGGAAAGCAGCCCTGGGCTGGCAGGTCCCAGGTGTGGCTCCTCTGCTCCATGGCTCTGTGACCTTGGTCTAGCCCTTCACCTCTCGGAGCTTCTCTTGCCTCGTTTGTTGGAGAGAGAGACCCGGTTCGCTAGAAAGTGTGCTTTGTGGGAGGAGGGGTTTGGCCTTTCTTTGCTGGATGCGCAGTTCCTGTCCAGCTGAATGACACACAGTGCTGGCATTTGAGTCCTGTGGTAGGTAGGCCCTGGAGGACAGAGGTGGAGGAAGCTCAGGTGCGTCCTAGCAAGAGGAAGCAGCCCTTCAGAGCGCCAAGCTGTGGGATTTGCCAGGAGGTCTGATCAGGGAGCGGGGAGAGCCTGGCTGGAGTAATCGCCCTTCCGGGGGCAGGTACCCACGTGCGGAGAAACACCAGGAGAGGTGTGTCGGGCCCAGCGGGGTCCTGCTTTGTGTCAGACTCGAGACATACGTGGCAATGGCAGGTGTGGGTGGGGGCAGCTCAGCATCTGGGCAAAGCCTGTGTCTTCCCTGTGGGTGCCACCAGCCCTGCTTTGGGGAGATAATACTGGGAGGGAGAGAGGGATGGGGCGCCTTGGCAATGGGGGTGTGGCCGGAGAGCCAGTGACCCCAGCACTGGGATCCTGCTGGACAGGCTGTGTGTGGGTCGGGCCTCTCCAGGTGTCCTGCTCGGGGCTCACGTGCCTTCAGACTGCAGGAGGCAGAGCACCGTCCTCTCAAGCCCGGGTGGTGACCCCTGGAGACTCGGGTCCTGGAGCGCGGTGGCTTGGCTTGCTTTCCTTGTTTCGCATTCGCACAGCGCACTTTTGGGGCCTCTACTGGGTGCCAGGTACTGTTCTAGGGGATACAGCTGAGAACTAGGCAGAAGGCTCGGTCCCCTGGCTGAGGGGTGCTGAGTGTCACGGTGCCAGTGAAATCCAGGCAGTGCGCCCCTCGCCCTGTGCCGTGAGAGGCAGCGCTGGTGTGCTCAGAAGCACAGAGCAGCAGCCCTGGGGTCCCTGTCCACAGGGGTGCTTGGGCACTCGGGAGTGGGACCCACAGGCGCCTGAGCAGCTGAGCTTCCCTGGGAGGGGGGGCTGCTGGGGGCCAAGAAGGCTTTCCAGGAGGGGGTGCCACAGGGCTGGCTGGTTTCAGGACCTGCCTGGTGGGTCTCCTGCCAGCTGGTGAAGGGGGCTGGTGTGTGCAGGTTCTTGCTGCATCGCAGGCCTCTCCCCTCACCTGTGCAGGTGACCTGACCCCTGCCTGGCGGAATTGCTGTACTTTTACCTGCAGAGCTAACCACTTCCTTCTCTGGAGTCTTTCCTCACTGACTTGCTACAATTTTAAAAGCTCTTTTTTTGTGTTTTAGAGAATTTTAATAATGTTACAACAAATTAATATAAAGACTAAAAAGTATATATTTGTGAAGTGACTCTGTGTTCCAAAATTACTCACAGGAACTTCTGCACGATTCAAAACCTTGCTTTTAAGGTTTTCCTTTTCAAAGACGGTTGGGCTCCTTTGGGGGCCAGCGATGGTGCTGTGGGGCCTGCGTACACGGGCTTTAGTGTCTCTGCTTCTACTTGTGAGCCGCAGGGCACGCCCTCGGATTCAGGGTTTATCTGAGCCTTGCAGCCTGTGGCGGGGCCCCCCAACTGGGCCCAGGGGAGGGGCTGTGAGGACCCCAGGGGTCTGAAGTGGCAGGGACACTGCTGCTTCTGCTAATCGTGGTGGTCTCCAGCGGGGAGCACCCAGAGTCCGTAGACACAGAGGAATCGTGAGAAGCTGTGCTTGCTGACACTGTCTGAAAATTGTGGGGGAGACGCTTGGAGACCTGATGCCCTGGAAAGGGGCTGCTGACATGCGTGTGGCCTGTGGATGGGAGGTGGGCACGTCGCCCGCATCAGGGACCAGATGGGCAGTGGGTTATATGTTCTGGGAATGCTCGTGTGCTTGGTCTTACGACACTGATCTCCAGTGAGCACTCTTTGTGACTCACGGGGCACTGCTGTCAGCGTTTGTCTTATAGCAGCTGTGAGAGTATGTGGGGGTGTTCTAGACGCCCCAGGTCCCGGAAGATGCCGAATCGGTCGTTGTGGGTTAGGGGCTTGCCGGCTTCGCCCACATCTGGGAAGCATCGCTTACCAGCTGATGCCTTTTTTGGTCCTGTGGGTCAGCAGGCTGGGAGGATCAGTGTCACAGTCCCAGTGCCTCTTGCATGCCTGGGACAGGCCTTTTGGTCCTGTGCGCCAGTCTTCTGGCCGCGCCTCCGTGTTTTCTCTGGCAGGTTTGGCAGGCCCGCCTTGCTGCCCACTCGGCATCATGAGTGTGGTCATTTCTAGGAGGGACTGGCCGCTGGGTATTTTCCACTCGTTGCAGGGAGTCAGCTGTCCTCACACCCTTGCCCTTGCTGAGTGAGTGAAATCACAGGGTTTACAGCCCTTTTCCTATGCCTGGATCACAGGATCTGACCTTCCCGAGTTATCCATTAGCCACTAAACCAAAGGGTGCATTCGCCTTCCTGGCCCCAGGGAGGTGGAGCCACTAGCAGCTCTGGCGTCTGGGAGGGATAAGCAGGTCTTGTGCAGTGTCCCGTACTGTCCTAAGGGTCCCTCGGTTACTGCCACACGTGTAGAAGTGGGGGTGTGTGCAAGACAAGGGAACCTTTTGTTTTAACCACACTTGCAAGGTAATACTTTTCTTTTCTATACCAAGCTTGCAAGTTAACACTTCTACTCTCATTTTAAAGATGGGAGAACACAACTGAGAGATGAATAAAGTTGCTCAAGGTCACAAATCTAGTGAGTGGCAAAGCTGATATTAAATCCGTTTTTTCCGCTGTGCCATGCTGCCTCTCCAAGCAGGAAACTTAAACTTGACAGTGAAACATGGACAGAGCATGGGCCACAGCCAGCGCCAGGGCCTGGGAGTGACGGAGGCTGGGTGCCGCCTGCCCTGGGCCTCTGTCACCAGCAGTTGCGTGTGAAAGGTGCTTCAGGGGGCTCGAGCTCTTGCTACACAGAGGCCGTTTCGTCTTGATGACAGCAGTATGTCTCCACCTGCGTTTCTTCTCGTGCGAGGTTGGGCTGGCAGTGTTGTCTGCTCGCCCAAGTGCTGTGATAATTAATGCATCGGAAGGGGCTCAATGAACTATAAATGAGGTGTCTTCTGACATCTCTACGGGGCAGCCCAGAAAATGTGTAGAGTGATTTAAAAAATGTTTATTAGGAAAGCAACTTTATTTATTTACCTTTTGACCCCCTTCACCCATTTCTCCCACTCTACCCTCCACCCCAACTCTGGCAATCCTCAAATCTGTTCTGTGTACCTATGAGTTGTTGTTTTCAGGTTCCACATATAGGTGAGGTTATACAGGTACTTGTCTGACAGTCTGGCTCATTTCACTCAGCATAACGCCCTCGAGGTCCATCTGCGTTGTAGAAAAAGGCAGGACCCCACCTTTGTTATGGCTGAGCAGGACTAAATTGTAGGTAGTACCACGTCTCGGCTGCTGTGAACAGTGACCACGGGGATGCAGAGATGCGAGTATTTTCGAGTTAGGGTTTTTGTTTGTTTTTTCCAGATAAAATACCCAGAAGTAGAATTTCTGGGTCTCAGGGTGGTTCTGTTTTTAATGTCTTGAGGACCCTCCATACTGTTTTCCATAGTGGCTGCACCAATTTGCAGTCACACCCCAGTGGGTGAGGGTCCCCTTTTCTCCAGCCTTGCCAGCTCTTACCTGTTGTCTTTTTTGATGACAGCCGTTCTGACAGGTGCCGGGTGGCATCTCGCTGTGGCTTGATTTGCATGTCCCTGATGATGAGCGATGGTGAGCATCGTGGACATGCTGGCCGTCTCTGTGTCTTCTCTGGAAAAATGTCTGTTCAGACCTTCTGTCCATTTTTTAATCTGATTGTTTTTTGCTGTTGAGTTGTGTGGGTTCTTTATAGCTTTTGGATGTTACCCACTTATCAGCTGTATGATTTACAAATATTTTCTCCTCAGTAGGCTGCCTTTTCCTTCTGTTGAGGGCTTCCTTTGTGCACGGGAGGAGGCCTTTTTAAAGATGGATTTCATCATAGCTTAATAACAGAGCCCTCACTCTCCAGTAGCACCTGATTCCAGCAGCCTGAAGTCGGCCTCACTCCAAGACTGTGCCGCCCAGGCCCTTCCGGGGGCTTCTACCCTTTGCCCCTTCTTGCCTTGACAGGACAGACGGGCCCTTCTTACTCCTTCTGTGTCCCCAGGGCCAGTGAGTGGCTGCCTGAGTGACATGTGAACATTTATCTCAAGGGGCAAAGGGCGGCCTTCGCTTTTCAGGCAGTCCTGTGTTTTGGGAGAATGGAAAGATACAGGACCGGAGCTGCCCTGGACTCCTCAGGGAGCGTCTTGGCTGGCCACCTAAAGAAACTAAGGAAGGTCATTGTTCTGCGGAGAGTAATGTTAAAGGAACCAGGAGGTGGAGCTGTTTCTTAGGACCCAGGGCAGAAGGCTTCTTGCATCACCTCAGCATGTGGGCTGCATATGGAGTGTGAGGGGCCGAGGGAGCGTGTGCAGTGGCTGGTGTCCCTGAAGTGGCATTTACAGCTGGTCCTGGGCCCAACTGTCCTCTGTCCTCACCGGGACAAGCTAGGCTATGTCATTTTCTCGCAGACACTTGCCCGTGTGACAACCCTCCAGGTGGGGCGGCTGGGTCCGGCGACAGTCCTGTCTGTTTCCCTGGGGACACCTCCCTCTAGGTTCTCCTGTGCGCCCAGCACACGGTTGGTCAGCCTGCTGGGGCCCGAGCCCTGGGACCCAACCTGCCTGGTCAGAGGAGGCCGCCCACAGCCCCGGCACTTGGGAAATCTGCACCCTTGCCTGCTCCATCTCAAGCTGCTGGGGATGGAGTTGGGCCCCAGGGGCCCGCACTCCTTCCTTGTCTGCGTCTCCGGGAGCGCCTTCTCGAAGGCCTGTGGGACCGGTTCTGTTCTGGGCCTGAGCCTCCCAGATCTTCTGGGCCCAGCCCTTGCACCCAGTGGTAGTTTCCTAACTTTCTGGAGTCTTTATTTTGAAGTCACTGGACAATAACTGACTCCAGAGGGCTTGCGGTTCCGTGAGCTTTGGCACGTGGGTCCCTGTCACCAGCTCCCCCCACGAGCACGGGTGCCCTGCAGGCGGCTGCCCCACACAGCAGCCCAGGCACCCTTGCTCCTGCCAAATGGCCTTCCTGTGTGACAGTCTGTCTTCAGTGGGTGCTGCAGGTCCCTGCGCGTAGCTGCTGCCATGCTTGCCCTCAGGCGGCCGTCTCCGTCCCTTCCCCACTGCCTTGCTTGTGTCGGCCTCAGCAGGCGGCTTGTTTTCACTCTGCGTCCGTGGCGTCTGGTGTGGTGCTCTAGTGATGCCTGGGCCTCGCCTGCCCCAGCGTCACGGCTTGTTCACACCGGGCCTGTGTGGATGCATTGAGCCTGCCCCCGGCTGTGGGCTGTGCTGGCCCTGCCCGTGTCCCAGCAGCTGGGGTCGCACGAGCTTACGGAGCTCAGGGAGGACAGGCTGCTCCCCTGCATGCTTTGCTCTTTGCTCGTTCCTGGCAGGCTGCTGTCCTTCTCGCCTTCCTCACATCTGTTTGGGGAGCCCGTTAGGACGCTGAGAGCGGGCCTGCTGGCACCGGGCTCTCACGGCTCCTGCGTCTGAGAAAGTGTAGTCTGGGGGGTGTCTGCTGGATGTGGACCCCCTGCACTTGGCAGCATGTCGTTTAGAGATGAGGACGCTGAGGCCCAGAGACATTCCGTCGTCTGTCCGAGGACCCGCTGGGTGCTGGGCCTGCGTGCCCTCGGCAGGCCGCTCTGATGATGAAGGCGTCGGGCAGCCGGGCTTGTTTCAGCGTGGGCTCTGTGCGCCCTGAAGTCCTGGGGCCTGACGGCGGTGGGTCGTTTCCACCGGGGGCCGGGGAGCCATGCCTGCTTCCTCCCTTGGCAGCTCCGAAGGCCAAGCCAGAGTGGGTGACAGAAGGACCTGGAGCCCAGCCCCCCTCGGCCCGCAGCCGCCTCCGCCAGCTCTCCCGCGTAAACGGCATATCAGAGTGCACACCTTCTATCTTTGGGGCCCGGTGTCCCTTCTCCGCTCCCTTTTTTTGGCCCGTCCTCCTCGCACATCTCTCAGATGTGGTCGTTGCATGATCCTGAGGCTGCTCATCTCAGCGCAATCTTGCTCAGTGAAAAGTGCCTTGTTGGCCGAGTGCCCTGTCACTCTAATAGCAGACGGCACTGCGGGAACCTGCCTCGTGTCCTCTGAGCACAGCAGCCTGACTCTCACCAGAGCTCTTCCCGCCCAGCCGGTGACCCTCATCCGCGTTCTCCGCGTGGGAGGCTGCGTGCCACGTGCGATGGCCGCGCTTCCCGTGCTCTGACACATCTGTGTTTGGTTCCAGGCGTGCACACACCCTGACCGTGCTCTTCATCCTCACCTGTGTGCTTGGCTACGTGACTCTGCTGGAGGAGACGCCTCAGGACACAGCCTACAACACCAAGAGGTAACCAGGCCCCCAGCCCGGCGGGGAGGCTTGGTGGGTGGCTGTGGCCCTAGCTGTGCTCAGGCTGCCCAGGAGCACCTCCCCCAGCCTGCCTCCCCTGCTGTCCCTGGGACCCTCCAGGGACCATATGTCGTGTAACCTGCAGCTCACGCTGCGTTTGCACACGAGACCAGAATGTGCTGCGGCAGCTCCAGGGACGGGGCCCAAAGAGGGGTTGTGGTCACCAGTTCTGATGTGGGGGGACAAGCGTGGCTTCGACACCCCCTGAGTGCCCTGCAGCGTAACTCAGTTCTGACCCTGTCCACCCGAGGGAGCATCAGATCCCGCAGGGAGGGACTCAGTCCACAGTCTCACCCCACCTCCCCCTGACCCTTCACACTCCAGTCACAAGTCCACTTTGTCACCTGGGCTTCTGACCAACTGCTGTAGATCGGGGGTTTCCAGGACCCTCCTTGGGCTCGATTCATTTGCTGGAGCAGCTCCCAGACTCAGAAACGCTCACTGGGTGGCTGGTTTATGGGAAAAGGCTGTGACTGAGGACGGCTCGTCGGCCAAGATGCCGAGATGCGTGGGGCCAGGTGTGCGGAAGGGCGTGGAGCTGCCCTGCCTGCTCCAGGCGCCTCTCCCCCCACCCCTCCCGTGTTCACCCACCGGAAGCCCCCTAGACCGCGTCCTGGGTTTCACGGAGCTTTAGTGCGCAGGTGCAATAGATTAACTCTGGCCACTGGCGATTGAACTCAACCTCCCTGAAGTTAGGGATGGAAGTTCGGGGTGGGGCTGCAAGTCCTCCTGGCCACCGGCCCCCACCTTTGGGGCTTTCTCCTCATCCATATAATGAAAACCCTTTACTGCTGCTCATCAAAGGAAATTCCTAGGGTTTGGGGTCTCCGTGCCCGAAAGCGGAACAGAGACCCAATATCTATGTCTCATTATAAATCAGTGTCACGCAGCCTGTGAGTTTGTGTCTGGGGGCGTGTGGGTCTTCGTGACGGCCAGTGATGGTCCCCCATCAGCGAGCATTGTTCTACACTCTGTTGATACTAACGCTTTTGGAAAATTTAAACCAGCTTCAGACAACGGACTGTCTGGCAGATGATCTCAGGTCAGGAAGTAGTGGGTGGACTGTCTTTCATATCAGCTCCAGACAGAGCAGAGAGGTTGTGCCCTGGGCCTGAATCCCGTGGGCGCTGGGGCCAGTTGCAGAAGTGTGGGAGGGAGGTCTTAGCACTCACTCCTTTGGGCCCCTAACACTGGACGGACTCGCCTTGCCTTCTCCAGGCCCATGGAGCCCCCTTGCTCTCCTGATCTTGGGGCCCTGGCGGCTGCCACCGCCAAGGCCCAGGCCCCAGGTCCCACTTGCTCTGCTGGGATGACAGAGGCCAGAGGGATCCGGAGACCGCCACCGGGGTGGGGACAGAGGCAGAAAGAGGCTCGGGCCAGGCAGTGTCTTGACCGCTGGTCAGCTTTGCTTCGTGGGGCTTGTCAGCCATCCCGGTGCAGCCAGCCCTTGTTTTTGTAAAACGAGGGTCTCCCGTTTGCCACGGAGTGCGGTGTGAACAGCGGTACGCACTCTACTGGTGTCAGCAGCCCATGAAGACATCAGGTGGCTCCCCGTCAGGCGTGCACTTGGCCTCCTGTCTGTGGGCGCTGAGAGCCACCCACAGTTGCCTCGTATCCCCACCTGGCTCCTTGGCTGCAGCAGGGGCATTTCTGGTTAGACATGGCTGCCAGGGGGGTCTGGGCTCAGGGCTCTGCTCCCTGGAGGCGCTCAGGCCTTGTCCTCTCCTGTAAGACCAGCTCCTGGCTCCACTGTCTGCAGGGTTCCCCCCCGACACACACACCATCTCCCAGTCAGTGTTGCTGGGTCCTCCTCTTTTCCCAGGCTGGGCATCTCCGGACACTGCCTGCTGCCCGTCCCTACCCCGCATTCATGGGAAATGGGGTCCAGGAGTGCAGGAAGGACCTGGGCCGCCGTTGGGCCCTGTGGGTGGCCCCTGGGACTGCCCTCGGCAGCAGGTCCCTGTGTAGGGAGCGTGGACCTGTTGACACCGGGGAGGGTGAGGCAGGGGCCCACATTTGCCTAGAGGGCATTTGTAAGTAGAACTTGGTCTTTGTGAATTTGTCTGGCTGGGTTGTTGTTGACTTTAAAAACAAAACAGTTATTTTACCAGCAAAAGGGGGTTTGTTTGGGAACAGCAAAGAATTGCAATCTGGACGAGCAAGCCATACCAAAGTCGTGGCAAGCCCGGCCGACCCCGTGAGGAGCCCGACTTTATGGCGCACGGAGTGGGCTGGGAGGGTTAGAAGGGAACCCCGCTGGAGGAGAACAACGGCCCCGGGAGCTGACGGGTTCCACAGACGCACATGCCCTGTTTCCTGGGCTGCAGGTGGCGGTTCCTTCCTGCTGGGGCCTGGAGGGACGGGCCACACCGCGTGACAGCACCTCTTTTGGGAAGCCTCCTTTATCAATGTCACAGTGTAGAGGGTGTGTGGTATCTGCTGGGCGCTGCTGGGCAGGGAGGACTGAGAAACAGGACTTGGTCACACTGAGGGGACGTCCCCATTGGCCGTGAAATTAGGGCAGAGGTGAGCAGTTCTGATGTCACCAGGCAAGAGGTGTCACAAGGAAGAAGGGGACCCCTTAGCAAGAGTGGGCCCATATAGGGTGTCCAGGGAGTGCCCCCTGAGGGCAGGGGTTTGGTTCTCATTCAGCAGATGCCTTCCCTCTGACCTGGACCTCTGAGGTGAAGGGTGGCGTGTTGGCCGTGTCCGGACCGCCTAGCCTTTCACCCTGCACTGGCCTCTGTCCTGAGCTGTCCCTGCTTATGGGAGGCTGGGACAGTGCACACGAAGGATGACTGGCCCGCACAGCAGGGACCTGGGCCCTCTCTGCACAGCCCCAGTGTGAGTCCACTGAAGGGGGGTTCAGGGGCTCCCGGCTCTGCCCTTCTCTGAAGTTCTGTGCTCTGGGGACACTGGACTCCTCATATCTCACAGGCTCTGGTCCTCGCCCACATCGGGCACAGAGGAGCCGCCCTCCTGGCCCTGTGAGTCTGCTGCTCGTGCCTGGGACGGACCCCGAGCTTCTCCCCAGAAGCCTCCAGGGCCCCAGCGATGCTGCCACTCTCGTGGGCCATCCTCGTGGGTGTGTGGGTTCATCTGTGTTTGGTCATTTTCCCTCAAGGCCCCAGCTGGACCCACAGTCCCCTACCAACCCCCCTGTATGCCAACAGCTCCCCGGCTGTGCCGAGGCGCCCCTGGGGCAGCCCCCACTCAGCCTTGCCAGGGTCTGGGGGAGGCTGCTGGGCCCAATTTATTAATCAGTGTCATGTCAGAGCTTTTGATGCCCTCAGGGAGGACTCTTGCATAGGCAATACTTCTACAGCTTATGCTTATTTCCAAAAGTTAATACTGTCAGTGTTAAAAATTTAGGAAATGGGTTTGTTTTCCTTAAGCTTTCGATTTTGGCTTATGTGTCATTGTTCTTTTTATGGGTCTAACAAGTTCTGTCCCTGGGGTGGGGTGGGTTCAGTTTCCTCCTTAAGTCAGCTTATCAATGACATTTTTATGTGGCACGTATCCGGTTACAGTGCACAACTTAGTGAGTGTCCACAGTCACACCTGCCTGCCGGCACTGAGGGGACCCTGCCGTCAGCCCTCACGCAGGCTCAGGCGCCGCTGACCTGTCACCACAGGTCCTCTGGCCCCTTGTGCAGCTTTGCAGTGAGGCTGACCATCCAGCAGGCACTGTGTCCAGTGTCCTCACTCGGCGTGATGGCTTGTAACATCCATGTTGTGTGTCCGTGGTCAGGCTCCCTGCCAGGTGGCGTCCCACCATGTGGGTGTAGCCCACGTCATTGATCCACTTATGGCTGGTGACACTTAGGATGCCCACACATGTGTATAAATACCTATACGTGCATATATAAATGATACTGTTAAGACAGTGAAAGACAAGCCATGGACTGGGATAGAATATTTAAAAACATAACTGATAAAGGACTTGTATGCAAAATATGCAAAGAACACTTAAAGCTCAACAGAAAGAAAACAAACAACACAAGTGGCTGGCTGGTTAAGAGCTCGCTTGGGAGCACCTTCTCTGAGCAGCAGGGCTGAGGTTTGGATCCCACATTGAGGACCAGTGACGCTCGCCCTCTACAGCTAAGATGATGAACAACAGCTCGACCTGGAGCTGGGCTGCCGGGAGTCGCCGGCGATGGTGTAGGCTGCAGTGGGCTGCCGTGAGCTACATGAGTGGCTGGCAGCCGGTGTGAGCTCCCGTGAGCCGCTGTGAGTGGCCGACCAATGACCAGCGACCGATTGCCTCACCCGGGAAGAGCGCAATGATAATACCAACATGGGCCAGTGAAGCAACGTCCTCCACAACTAGACTGAAGAACAAAAAAACAGCAATTTGTCTACCTGTCTGTTCCCCTGATTCCCCAACGCTGTTCCCCTCCCCCCCCCAAAAAAAAAACCTTAAAAAAAAAAATAGGCAGAAGGCCTGAACAGATGCTTCACCAGAGATACGCAGATGGGAAATAAGCCATGGAAGATGCTTAATTAGCATCATTTGTCATCAGGGAGAAGCCAGATAAAATGGGACACCACTACACAGCTATTCGGATGGTTAAAACCACACAGCACCCAGTGCTGGGAGGACGTGGAGCACCGGGAACTCCCACCCCTGCTGGGTGAGCAGACAGTGCAGCCACTTTGAAGGAAGTTTAACTTCTTATAGAACCAAACACACTCACCCTGTGATCCAGCTATCGTGCTCCTTCGTATTTACCCAAAGGAGCTGAAAACTTACGAGGTCTGACAATTAAGTTCGCAAACTCACCCTAGAAAAAGTGCTACATACCTCTTTCGTGAATATCACTATGGTCATCTTCAAAGTACTCCCCTTGGGAAGCTATGCACCAATGCCAGTGCCTAGTCCACCCTTCAAAGCAATTTTGGAACTCTTTTTCTGGAATGGCCATCAGAGCTGTCGT